GAAAGTTCCGAGGCCCTCACACGACATGCAAAAGAGACCGATTTGATACATGCGTCGGAAGACACCCTTATACTCGAAAAACCACCCCCAAAATCAATTAAACGATTCTCCTCAAGCTAAAAATGATTTGTCGCTCTTTTACTTTTGCATAGAGGAAAGTTCTGAGGCCCTCACACGACATGCAAAAGAGATCGAACCGATACATGCGTCGGAAGACACCCTTTTGGGGGTGGTTTTTCAGGTGAAAGGGTGTCTTTTCAAAATTGATTTTTAAAAAGTCCAAAAAATATATTGAAATTTATGTAACTTTTATAAATAAAATATATACTGTACTTGTTCTTTTTTTACATATTTACTATCGTAGCAAGCTTATACAAATATGTGATTTATTTTAGTTTAATTCACGGCGTGTATTAATTATATAAGTTTACTCTAAATTAATAATTTATACTTTAAACTTTGCTACCAAGGATATCATAATTTACGTAAATGAGTGAATATTAAATAATAGCAGCAGTCATTATTTTATATCTCCAGGGTCATTAATGTCGCACATCCGTTTTTTGTCTTTTGTCACTACCCACACGGAACAAAAAGCTCTAATGAGGCTTGTAAATTACAGTATTTTGACATAAAATACAAAATATCTTGTAAAACATTCAATTTTTGGGAATCTTACCTTAATACTTTTATGCATAAAATAATAAGACGAATCAATTGGTATAAAGAAAACACATAGTTGCTTTCAAGAAAAGTATGCAGTTGCATGTTGCAAACTACATATTGACACCCTGTATATATATACAGGGTGTCAATTAAGTCCCGGGACGAAAAAATATGTAGTTTGCAACATGCAACTGCATACTTTTTCTTGAAAGCAACTATGTGTTTTCTTTATACCAATTGATTCGTCTTATTATTTTATGCATAAAAGTATTAAGGTAAGATTCCCAAAAATTGAATGTTTTACAAGATATTTTGTATTTTATGTCAAAATACTGTAATTTACAAGCCTCATAACTCGAAAAGTACTTAATGAAAAATAACTTCATTATAGTGTTTTGAAAAGCTCTTGACACCAGCTATTAGATTTTGGAATCAAAAATAGGGGTTTCTATTTAAGAAACCTAACCTAACCTTGAAATGACCTTGAAGGTCAAGCTCAAGGTCAAATTAAAGGTCACCGTTGAATTCCTCGTTGAAAATTACTTCAGAAATGACCTTGACCTTTTTCAAAAATACCTTACATGAGAAAATATTCAGCCGTCCCGGGACTTAATTGACACCCTGTATAATGTACCCATCCCATATTAAATAATTTAGTCTTAAATAATCTATATTTACTATAATAAATAACATTAAATAAATAAATAATATTACAATCAATAAATTTCAATTAGACTTATGTTACTTACATTACAAAACTAGAAAATGGGATTATTATTATTAAATGTACAGCGGAAATGATACTACATTTGTAAGTTTAAAGTCCTCTAAACTTGATGTATTGGCTAATTACGTCAACTTGCTTATAAAAACTGAGCTTCAGCGCTTCATCATTCAGTCTTCAAACGATATTCGATATTACAGTGATACAACGCATTTTCAAATCCAAATATCATAAAAACACGTCGCAACAAGTAAAACCCAATAAAATAAGATAAGTATATTAGCATTTATTTTTCTGCATTTGTATATCCAATAAAACAATTAGAATTATGGGTACCGAAAAAACATATAAATCGTATATTAATACCGAATCCAGTGACGAAATTGTTATTTCTGGTATCGCTGGTAGATTCCCAGACTCAGACAATATAAAACAATTACAAGAAAATTTATTCAACAAAATAAATCTTCTTAGAACAAATCCTCGATGGAATATAGGTAATTAATTTAAAATTATAGCTTTGTATTTATATTTAACTGAGATTAATGGTTTTTCCTTTGTCAGTAATTACAGTAGATAATTCAACATTTCAAAGACATACTTTAAACTATAGTTTTACAATAATAAATATACAGAACATAATACAGTTACAATTCATAAATATATATTTGTTAGAACATCCGGACTTACCAGCTCGCATGGGAACAATTAATAATCTGGAAAAATTTGATGCCGATTTTTTTCATATATCTTTCAAACAAGCAAATTTACTTGATCCTATGATAAGAATGTTACTGGAACACACTTACGAAGCAATTATCGATGCAGGGATCAACCCAAAACAATTACGAGGAAAAATACTGCAGTAATCGTAGGGACGAGTTACATTGAATCACAAGAGACACTTTTGTATAAAAATTTGCAGGTGAAACAAATCATTGATTGATATAGATAGTAAAAATTGATATAGATAGTAAAAAAAATTGCAAATAAATTATAAAAATTATTATTTACATGTATAAATTATTATTGCTTAAATATTGCTATTAGATAAGCAACATAAATATCTTTCATAGCAGTGAACCCACAGTGGCAAATATTTTTTCACATTTTGGATCTAAAAAGACCACGAAATTAAGAAAAATTATTGATTTATGAAAATATAATAGTACAAAATAATTAAAATAAATTATTCACATATTGATTTTCGTAATTACATGACCAATATAAATATAACACTACTTCCTGTAAATTAGATAGGCGGGGGAACCATTGCAGAATGCGCCAAATATGCGGTGGCAAATATGCTATCTCACTCATTCCATCTGAAAGGACCATCCTATGTTGTGGATACTGCCTGCAGCTCTAGTCTATACGCTATTGCTTTTGCATATGATTGTATTATGTCAGGCCGATGCGAGGACGCAATAGTTGGAGCCACAAATCTTTGTTTACATCCTATTACAAATATGCAATTCTTTCGACTTGGTATTATTTTTAGTAAACTTACTTGATTTTATAATACAAGCTAATCTGATATACTATGTTGAAAGAATACATACTGTACATAATTTTAGGTGTTTTATCTTCTGATGGATATTGTAGGCCATTTGATACTGCCGCAAGCGGTTATTCGCGTTCCGAAACCATATCGATAGTATATCTTCAAAAAGCTAAAAATGCAAAAAGAATTTATGCTATATGTAAACAGATTAAACTTAATAATGATGGTTACAAAGAAGAAGGAATAACATATCCATCGACACACATGCAAAGTGCTTTATTAACAGAGTTTTACAATGAATGCGAAGTACTACCATCTTATTTGGATTACATCGAAGCACATGGTACTGGTACCAAAGTTGGCGACCTTGAAGAAATCAATGCTATCCGTTCTGCATCAATGCATAACGTTCTGTGTCAAAATAGAAAAACTCCATTGATGGTAGGATCCGTAAAATCCAACCTTGGTCACGCAGAACCTGCCAGCGGTATCACACAAATCGCTAAGGTAAAACAATTTATTTAAGAAATTATTTCATCATAACATATAGACAAATAGTTTAGAATAACAAACAAATTAAGACATTTAAAACAAATTATCAAAATAATTTTTTTGTGTAATTTGATCCTTATATATTTTTAATGTAACATTTTAGAGACAGAAAGAAATATTTTTAATAATGACTACAAACATTGCTCAAAATAAATATTAAAAAGTTGTAATATTTTTATTTAAATGTTATAATTACTAATTCCATCAATAAAATAGAAACTATAAATTCTTTATTTATTCAAGGAAGATTATCTTTTGGATACAAATAGGCATAAAGATTCTTATGCCGAAGCGTTTTAGTATAGCAAATATTACATACCGTGTTATTAATTATTTAACTGTCTAACAACAACAAAAAAATCAAGTACTATAATTAATTCAAATTTATATATCAAAATTTATTAATTTTTATAGGTGATAATAGCATTTGAAACCGGTTTTGTACCGCCAAACATTAATTTTACATCACCGAGGAACGATATAGACGCCTTAATGGATGGAAGCATTCGTGTCATCACAGAAGCAATGCCGCTGAAAAATGGTTATGTAGGCATAAATTCTTTCGGTTTCGGTGGAGCCAATGCTCACATGTTATTACAATGGAATGTTAAAAAAAGATTAATAATGGAGTACCTACTGATGATTTACCAAGACTTGTGGTATTGTCTGGATGCACAGAAGAATCAGTAAAATTGTTTTTAGATGATGTAACTATTTCAGCAACAGCACTAACATCATTTCTAACAGCAAAGAACATTATATTACGTATACTACATATATATTTGAAACATTTATTTTGTAGATTGCTAATCATCCTATAGATGTAGAATATATCCGTTTACTACACGACATTCACACAGACGACATAGATGGTCATTCATGGAGAGGATACATTATACTGGATTCTCGGCAAAAAAATTCCATACAAAAAATTCAAAATTGTAAAAGCGTAAAACGATCCATTTGCTTCATTTTCTCTGCCTTCGCAGAATCCCAATGGCCAAAAATGGGTATGTATCCAACATTCAACATTTTTTATATGTACAAATTGAATAATGAAATAATACACAAATTTTTAAATTTTATCAGGTCAAGAGTTATTAAAGTTTCACGCATTTGCGAATGCTGTAAAAATGTGCGATTACTATTTTGAAACCATATGATATAAGTATCACAAATATTTGACGAAAATGGATAGTAAAATTAAATGAAAACACTTTACAAACATTTGTTGGTATCATCGCCATTCAGGTATTATACTTTGAAACAGCACATTGTTATATTGTATATAGACGCAAATTTGTAGTGTTTCATCGAGACTCTCGTCTCGTCTCGATTTATTTATGATTTCTTGCTGTATACTTTTCATGTGTCAATGTGTAAATGTTTACGAAAGAAAATATTATCAATAATCTATTATGTATAAATAAATAAATAGTACGTAAATGGTTAGTACCCGTAGTAATTTTTTGGAACTTAGATTAAAAAATGATCGGCAGCTGGACGTAAAAATAAAAATGCTCTGGATGTGCAAGTTTACAATTAATTTTAATTACTTAAATGATGTGTTTATTTAGATTTTTATTTGCAAAACAGAGTACAAATATATTCTTATAATAAGGTATTTCTTATTCGACAAATTCAGCGTCGTCAAAAATGTGGCTCGTTAAATCAGAGGATACCCAGGAATTAAGACATAACAATAGACGAGCAGATTTATTATTAAGCCGATTTCGGTATTTTCTGAATAAAGCCCGCCTTAGAAAATAATCGCTCTGTTGGAACGGATGTTGCAGGGATACTAAGAAAATCGCGCCATCTTTGCTAAACATGAGTATGTTGTCTGATTATTTTTCCACTATCGAAATCATGAGACGAGACCGAGACGAGACCGAGACGAGACCGAGACGAGATCAATTGAGACGAGACTGAGACTTGATCATCGAGACTTTTCCGAGACAAGATCGAGATCAACCCAAATCTCGTCTCCGTCTCAGAAAAGTGAAACACTACAAATTCGAGTTTATTAATATCTGTTTTTATATTATATTTACTTTATTATAAAATATGTTGATAATAAATTGTATTATGTTTAATGCAATATATTTAATGATTATATTGTTTATTAATTTTGTAGATTTGCTTAGTAGATCTCTTAACATCTATAGACATTATTCCGGATTATATAATTGGTCATTTTGCTGGTGAACTTGGTTGTGCTTACGCAGACGGATGTCTGACAATGGAACAAACTATTCTGTCAGCGTACTTTATTGGTTTAGCATGTGTGAAAGAAAAACTAGTTTACAGCTCTATCGCAGTTGTCAATTTTGATTACAATTCTCTTAAAGGTCTATGTCCAGAGGATATCGAAATAATATGTAGAAACAACCAAAACAGCAATATTGTAACCGGCCCCGCTAAATCTATGCAAGAATTTTTGCGAAAATTGCAGGTATGTTGATTTTTTATCTTTTATAAATTATAGATTTTTCTTTATTAATACGTAATGTACATAATGTTTTTTTTTTTAACAATCGAGTAATAACCTAATTTTTAATTTCAATTTGTCGCACTTACTAATATATATTAATTATTTTTTCATTATTAGAACAGTAACATTGACGTGAAAGCAATCTCCTGCAACAACATGCCGCATCACAGTCGTTACCTCGCTTCTCTGAAATCGCAATTTTTTACGAATTTGAACAAAATAATTGCACAGCCGAAAGAAAGGAGTCCCAAATGGATCAGCACCTCCATACCTCGCAACGAATGGTCCTATCCAACATCAAAATTATGCTCAGCAAGCTACCATATGCGTAGTATATTAAATACCGTTCTTTTTGATCAAACAACGCATATGATTCCAGATGACGCTATAATTATTGAAATTGCACCAAATAGCATTTTACAGGACATTTTGAAAGAATCGGTACATCCAAAAGTAACGAACATTGTACTGACTACGCAAAATGAACCAAATGCTATCGATTTAGTATTGCAAGGAATTGGAGAACTCTACAATTGTGGCCGGCAGCCGCGGATCGCTAATTTGTATCCACCGGTGAATTTTCCGGTTAGCCGAGGCACTCCTATGATCTCTCCATCCATTAGGTACAATATATTTTTAAATTAAACTATTGCTTATGTAAATAAACATATAATTGTATAAACTAACGTTATAATACCATCAGATGGAATCATTCTAAAGATTGGTTTGTATATAAATATGAAACAAAAAATCAAATCAAATCCAAAGAAAGACAAATAGAAATTATAATAAATAGCGAAGATTATAGCTTTATGACCGGTCACGTCATTGACGGAAGAAATTTGTTACCTGCGACAGGCTATCTAATGCTTGTTTGGGAAACTATTGGAATGATGAAGGGTAAAATACACACATCAACACCAATAGTATTTCAAGATATAAAATTTATTCGGGCTACTCATTTATCAAACAATGGCCCTGTGAATTTGGCAATTGCGATACAGAAAGGTATGCGTAAAATTTTATTCTTCCAAAAAAGCTTTTAATAATATAATTACAAGAACATGTAACATTTGATGTAAACTTATTTTAGAAGGCAAATTTGAAGTCACTGAAGGAGACAGCGTTGTTGTAACAGGTGTAGTATACGCTGTATCAAATGCCGAACAAGAAATGGTGCCGAATGATCTATTATCGGTGGATACTGACGAGGAAGAACATATGAGTTCTCGAGACATTTACAAGGAATTAAGGTTACGCGGTTACCAATACAGTGATGCATTTTGTGGCTTAAATAGCGCATCAATCTCAGGTAGCAAAGGGCACATCACTTG